GATGTGTAGCTCCCGGCACCGATTTATACTGTAGTCGCACCGGTAGTGACGTCATGGCTGTCGCCGGCCAACGAGTTGGTGTTTTTTCAATGTATGCTTCAGATACGAGTCACGACGAGGCGTTCCCCATAGCGACCCCTAGAGGACGCAGTTCGAAGTTCCCATGAAAGGGAATCGCATTTACATGGATACTCATCAAAACAGCCATGAACATAATTTTCTGTGCATTTGCTCAAGCAGACTAGAAAGAGGACTCAATCTGGTACTCGCGTGCAGTCTGAGCCGAGCGCTTTTCACAGTGTGTGTCAGTGTTGCCAGATTGGAAATGTCCAAGTATCGTACCAGAAGCTCAAAATTATCGCATTTGGAAGAAAATTATCGTATATGAGTCAAACGTACAGAATACAGTTATTTATCTAGACCAACAACTTTTTGACACGACCTGCAAATTACCAAAATAGATAAATAACCCTACACCGGACGCGAGCGGCGCGACAAAATAATATAGAACCCATTATAATCAGTGACACTGTCTACACTGGATTCGGCACGACACGACAAATCCCTGACAGTAAACTGATGCCTCGTTCTATTTATGACGCACTGACACAAAGTTCAAATTATTTTTAACAGTCGCTTTGTCGCGTGCATTGTAGACAGACTTTAGCTGTTGCGGCACGGCATTAACTCCACCTCTGAGTCGCTGTCATCAGAAGCCTGCATGTTGCCAGGTGTTGAGGGGGCTCTTGACATCAGGGGCCGTAACATAGTGCTCACTGGCTTAAAAGCAGGTCACCCTCCTGCATTCCTGAAGTGTGCACAAGCGCATTTAGAGAGTCTGTAACATGGGCGTCACTAGGCCATTTTTAGGGGGGTATATACCACTACTGGTGAACGAGCCAGTGTAATGCAAATATGTCTGAAATGTCTGACATAAGATGCTGCATGAACAATACTGTATGAAATGTTGTTTGTTTACATCACACTGCGCCTCGCATTATGAAAACAATGTTTGGGATCAAAACTTCGTGATGAGGTGATTTCGAAATAGATAATGTAACCTATATGTTGAATATTCATCCAAATTGTGGTGAAAACCAAAACATTTGTGTGTTAAAATAACATTTGTGTGTTCAAAAAGTAAAGAAATGCTTATATTACTTTACTGGCCAACCAAGATGGCGGCGCCCTTGCTCCAAAAGCTATAGCAAAACATCCTTTTTTTCTTAAAATGGTTACAATAATCATGTTTGTTATATTGTTTTAATTAAAGTGGAAATCAATTTACTAAATAGTGTAAACTTGACTGACTGCTTCACTTCCACTTTAAAGCCTAATGTCATTGAATCCTGAGCAACTGATGGGGCACAGGGTCTGCGACACAAATCCAGCCCAACTGCTATTCAAAACAAGTCCAAAACTAGCCCAATTGTATTTTTCTGCAATTATCCCCTCCATCTAAATCACGTTCCAGCGTAAAAGTAACCACATTCTGCGGGAAAACCACAGACTTGGCAACACTGATGGGGCAGTTTTTAGGGGACTGTAGCATTATGTGGTTTAAAGTTCTAGTTAATCCAAAAATGAAAATGCAAACCTGCATGACTTACGTTCCTCTGTGGAACACAAAGATATTTTAAAGAATGTTTCAACAACAAAAAACACTGGATGGACAAAATATCTAGTCACAAGTACTTTCATTTTGGGTGAATTGTTTGTTCTCTTAACTTTCCTCAACAGAAAGTTCACCTTCATTAGTTTATCTAGGAGTTTTTTTTTCTTTTTCACCAAAACTATTAAACGATTAAGCATTAATTTGCATTAAGCCATTTAAAGGTGCAGTATGTAATATTGACAGCTGGCAGCTGAAATGGGTATTGCAGTCCAAATTCAAAATATTGTTTCTCCCGCCCCCTCCCCAGACTCAGGTTGCCAGATTGCGGACATGCAACAGGAATGAGTGCCACTGACAATGGAAGGAGACGAGCCTTACACTGACTACGTTTACATGGACATCAGTAATCTAATTATTTACCTTATTCTAAACAAGACAATATTATATAGATGTATAAACAGAGTTAGTCTTCGTTATGATGCCATATACAGTTTTGGGTGTTGCATTTTTAATTTTATGAAAGCTTCGAGTGCAGTTCATTATTTGTCATGCTATATGTGCAAACAGACGATGGGGTTGTTGAAGCCATGCTCTTTTGTTTGCCATCAAACGGTTGAGCACTGCCGTGCATGTCCTGTCGCAAAATGCAGCGAAAAGTCCTACATGACAGTAATAGTGTGATTAAGGTGCGTACATGTCTATACTGCACTTCGATAATGCGACTAAAATAGGATTACTTCTTAATTCAATTTATATTTCAATTATTATAGGAATAATAATGTCTTAATGAAATTTAAATTTACTTCGAGTATGACTTTAGCTGGATTAAGGTAATCAAAAATCTGTTTACACGGTAGATTCTTGATCAGAGTATTGTCTTAATCGTGTTAAAATTTTAATTTTGTTGTCCATGTAAACATACTGACTGTAAGTTGATCTTCTCATGTTTTAATGGCTCTGGTCATAGAGATTTTTTGATGGATGCTAAAGCTTTTTAGATCAAGTAGAATCTGTGATCTATGACCCAAATCATTTGTTTGCTTCCATGGCTGCAACACGCTGTGTTTTCCACCAACTGGCAACCTGGGGTGTCAAAATACAATTGGGTGAATTGGCCGTGGGCGGAGTCACACAGACCAAAACAAAACCAGACATTCTGACATGGAACGCACATTTCAAAGTAGAATAACTGGCTGTAGCATTGTATTTCAGAGAAATAAGTATGTGACCTTAGCATGATGTCTATATAGTATTTGTATGCTTTAGTACGGTCAAATAATTACATACAGCATCTTTAACTTTAACTCCACCAAAAAAGATGTATTTTTAAAAGAGATGTGAGGTCATGATGGGTGGATGATGAGTTTGGACATACACAGTGTTGATGAGAAGGTTCCAGATGCAGCCCTCAAAAGATGATCGTTGGGTAATGGCTGCTGGAAGGGTGGCTCTTCATCCACCTGCACAGTGAAAGATCTACACACACACATGCTCCATTAGTTTCAAAGAGGCCTGCATGGGAACCATGATATATGAGAGAGAGAGAGAGAGAGAGAGAGAGAGAGAGAGAGAGAGAGAGAGAGAGAGAGAGGGAGAGAGAGAGAGAGGGGGGGTTACTGACAAAGATGTAGAAAGTCATATTTTAATTAAAATGATCACCGTGCCCCTAGCCTTTAGTCCACCTGGTAACAAAAAAAGATCAACTTTTGTTTGCTGAAGGGCAGAGGCAATTAGAAACCTGCCTGGATAATAAATCTCTTTTATGGGCTATGAGACCCCTGTAACCCCGTGGATTCATTATGATCTCGTACTGAAGGCCGCGGCTCCCCGAATTTCCACTATTACCCATAATCACCTTCCTAAGCGAAAAGGCAAAAAGAATAGCATTGAACCATCTCACACAGTGTGTCTGTGTTTGCAATCAGCTGGAAGAAAGCTGGATTTCTCAAAACTACGCAATGAAGCTAACACTTAGGCTCAGTCATACCTACAGGAGCTTTGTGTTTTGTGGGGTTTAAGAAACAATTTATATTCAGTAATATTGAGAACTAAATCAGAATTGAGCTGAATAATGACACTGACTTTGCAATATTGATACAGTTATTCAAGTGAACTGAATCAACACTGAACTAAATTGATCTGAATAATAACACTACTGTTTTCTGTAAAACTGCTTTACAGCTTAAATTGCATTTGTGTCATAACTGATGAAATTTACAACATTAACACTGTTATTTTGTTTATTTGAACTATAGACCTGTTTCAAAATTACCATTTCTTTCAAAAGTACTAGACAAAGCTGTTCTCATTCAGCTGTCTTTGTTTTTTTTGCATAAGAAATTAAAGTACTTCTCTCTGGGTTTAGAGAGCATCATACCACAGAATCTGCATTTCTTAAAGGTTCTTGATGTCTTGTTAACTGTAGACTCTGGGGATGCTGCAATTCTGGTATAAATAGCATTTGATACTATAAGCCATAGAATTCTTATTGCACGGCTTGAACAGTTGGTAGGGATTCAAGGTACTGTTTTAAATTGACTTAAGTCCTATTTAACTAATAAAAGTTTTACAATTACTTTAGGTGAATTTGCATCATCTTCGGCCCCTTTTAAGTGTGTGGTTCCTCAAGGATCTATTCTGGGACCCATTATGTTTTCACTATATATGCTCCCAATTGGTTTTATAAAAAAAACTAAAAAACATGGAGTATCATTTCACTGACAGTAAAGAAGTAAAGTAAATAAAGACTTAAAGACATGGTTAGCTTTTTGCATGTTTTTTTTTTTTTTGCATTTAAACAAATACAATTTTTTTGGAGCCTCTATTGTGTAAGGTTCCCTAAAACTGATTTAGGCCCTTTGTCAATATATGGTAAATCGATGGTAAAAAAAATAAATAAATACAAAAAAAAAATAAAAACTGAGGTGCACTTTTGGCTTATGACAAACTCAAATTTGACGAACACAAATTTATTTTGTTAGATCAAGCTTTTTTTCTATTAAGAACACTGGCAACGGTCAAGCCATTTTCGTCTTTTTGTGATTTTGAGATTTAGCCCTGAAGCTCTGGAGCATTTGCTTCCAAACATTAGAACTGCCTCCACACTGGTGTCTTTCAAATCTCTTTTAAAATGTCATCTCTTCTTCCAGGCTTTTTTGTTGTTGTCAGTACCTGTTTTGAGATATGTTGGAACCTGATGTTTTATGTTGTGTAGTGATGTTTTAGAGATTTGTTGGACCCTCAGTGTATGTGTTGTTTAATAGTGGTGTGTATGTTTATAAATGGCCCTTTGCAAAAACCCACCCTCGTTAGTTACTGTTGCTAAGTCCGACAAGCCATGCCACTCTCACGTCAAACATCACGCCACGCAGTAAAAATCACGGAGCAAAGTGGAAACTGACAACATGCCGACATACAAGACAGAGCAGGTTACTTCTGGTATGAAACAAGGTCTCAGCTTTCAAATTTTGTTATTTAAGTAATTCAAACAATAAATACCATTTTGTGGCTCTTTAATGTGACGTGACAGATCGCTGTAGCGCCTCAGTTCAAGCGGCACGTCAACAGATCGTCTTTTCATATTTACTTAAAGCACGATATAAACATGAATGAACATCAGAACGTAGTTTATTTCAACAGCGGAAAGATGTCAATACACCCAATTTTTCAAGTTTAAGTCCACCGAAGTTAATGTACTCTCCTGTCTGACAGATGGATTTGGCGTTATGATTGGTCAGATCGCCTGTCAGTCAAGCTCTTTGTGAAGGGTCAATACACATTGGTCATCTGACTGTTGCTTTTAATTGTGCTTTATAAATAAACTGCATTGCCTTGCCTTATTTTCATGTTTATTACTGTGAGGCTGCTTTGAAACAATCTGTATTATATAAAGCACTATACAAATAGATGTGACTTGACTTGACCTACAGGAACATTGTGTTTTATGTGTGCTTCGTTTAATTAAGAATGAATTGGGATTAATCTTACTTTTTTTTGCAGTTGATGTAATTAATTTAAAGTTCTTGAAATTTGTCTCTTTCACAGTGTAGTGCATTCAGTGTGAAACGGACCGCTGATAGTGTGGCTTATTGGCACGTACTGTCTGTGCTGTTTTAACACCTGATTTCCTAAAGCAGCGGTTCCCAAAATAGGGGGCATGGAGTTATAAAAAGGGGGGCATGGCAAGGCTAAAGGACAATGCACAGTCAGATTGTTTTGCAAAAGAAACCCCTTCTGCATGATGAAAGACCCCACTGCAAAAGTATCCCGCTTAACACAAATTATAAATTTGACATTTTATTACCTTATGATGTCTTGCAGTACCCACTGAAGTGTTCTGTTATCAGTTATAGCAGTTGTTGTCATGTGAGTATCATTTCACTGACAGTAAAGAAGTAAAGTAAATAAAGACTTAAAGACATGGTTAGCTTTTTGCATGTTTTTTTTTTTTTTGCATTTAAACAAATACAATTTTTTTGGAGCCTCTATTGTGTAAGGTTCCCTAAAACTGATTTAGGCCCTTTGTCAATATATGGTAAATCGATGGTAAAAAAAATAAATAAATACAAAAAAAAAATAAAAACTGAGGTGCACTTTTGGCTTATGACAAACTCAAATTTGACGAACACAAATTTATTTTGTTAGATCAAGCTTTTTTTCTATTAAGAACACTGGCAACGGTCAAGCCATTTTCGTCTTTTTGTGATTTTGAGATTTAGCCCTGAAGCTCTGGAGCATTTGCTTCCAAACATTAGAACTGCCTCCACACTGGTGTCTTTCAAATCTCTTTTAAAATGTCATCTCTTCTTCCAGGCTTTTTTGTTGTTGTCAGTACCTGTTTTGAGATATGTTGGAACCTGATGTTTTATGTTGTGTAGTGATGTTTTAGAGATTTGTTGGACCCTCAGTGTATGTGTTGTTTAATAGTGGTGTGTATGTTTATAAATGGCCCTTTGCAAAAACCCACCCTCGTTAGTTACTGTTGCTAAGTCCGACAAGCCATGCCACTCTCACGTCAAACATCACGCCACGCAGTAAAAATCACGGAGCAAAGTGGAAACTGACAACATGCCGACATACAAGACAGAGCAGGTTACTTCTGGTATGAAACAAGGTCTCAGCTTTCAAATTTTGTTATTTAAGTAATTCAAACAATAAATACCATTTTGTGGCTCTTTAATGTGACGTGACAGATCGCTGTAGCGCCTCAGTTCAAGCGGCACGTCAACAGATCGTCTTTTCATATTTACTTAAAGCACGATATAAACATGAATGAACATCAGAACGTAGTTTATTTCAACAGCGGAAAGATGTCAATACACCCAATTTTTCAAGTTTAAGTCCACCGAAGTTAATGTACTCTCCTGTCTGACAGATGGATTTGGCGTTATGATTGGTCAGATCGCCTGTCAGTCAAGCTCTTTGTGAAGGGTCAATACACATTGGTCATCTGACTGTTGCTTTTAATTGTGCTTTATAAATAAACTGCATTGCCTTGCCTTATTTTCATGTTTATTACTGTGAGGCTGCTTTGAAACAATCTGTATTATATAAAGCACTATACAAATAGATGTGACTTGACTTGACCTACAGGAACATTGTGTTTTATGTGTGCTTCGTTTAATTAAGAATGAATTGGGATTAATCTTACTTTTTTTTGCAGTTGATGTAATTAATTTAAAGTTCTTGAAATTTGTCTCTTTCACAGTGTAGTGCATTCAGTGTGAAACGGACCGCTGATAGTGTGGCTTATTGGCACGTACTGTCTGTGCTGTTTTAACACCTGATTTCCTAAAGCAGCGGTTCCCAAAATAGGGGGCATGGAGTTATAAAAAGGGGGGCATGGCAAGGCTAAAGGACAATGCACAGTCAGATTGTTTTGCAAAAGAAACCCCTTCTGCATGATGAAAGACCCCACTGCAAAAGTATCCCGCTTAACACAAATTATAAATTTGACATTTTATTACCTTATGATGTCTTGCAGTACCCACTGAAGTGTTCTGTTATCAGTTATAGCAGTTGTTGTCATGTAATAACAGACCACAAGATGGTGCGATTGGCGAATCAGAATTGAGTATTGCAGGGAGTCATGTAAAAATTAAAATGAAAGATGCATGGCTCTGCACTAGGCATGGATAAGTTTGTGAAAAGACGAGGTAAACAATGCAGATGACGAATCTACTTTAAATCTACAAAAACTACATTTCTACATCAGACACGAGTGGCATGATTCAACAAATCCAAACAGAACCCATTATAATCAGTGATCCTATATGCGGGATGACTCGACATGACACATTTCTGACAGTTAGTTCTGTTCCTGTGCAAAAAAATCAAATTCTACAAATGGAGGACCCACCAGAAAACCACTTTTCTTTAAGAAAATCTTGTAAGACTGAAAATAATTTGTTCGGAATGCAACAACATATTGCAATTTCCCATCTATTCCACTTCATTGGCAAAGAAAACTTTGTGAAATAATCAGTACCTCAGGACCAAAATTCCATTTACAAAGTCCACACACATTTCGTATATTTTCTTTGATGCTGTTTGTTTGTCCCTGCTGGTCTACTGCTGTGATTTTTGATAAACCCGCCTCTAAGTGGAATGTAAAAACAATACGTCTGGCTGCATGAAACTGTTCAAAGCCTCCCCCCAAATCCGGATTTGATTTATAAAGAATTTTCCTCCGTTGTTTACTGATAAATAAGAGTACTGGGACTATGGGACTGCTGTGTACAGGACTGTTGTGAAGTTAAAATGCCAATCTGTGTAAAAGGGTTTATCAGCGTTAAACACATTTCAGTAATCTCATGACTGAATGAGAGTGTGAGGTGTGTGTGAGCACCTCTCCGGTCTGTCTGCGCGAGCGGCGCGGGATGTGGACAGGCGTCAGGCCCTGCGTCAGCTGCGTCATAGAGGTCAGTCCTCCTCTGCCGAACAGGATGATGCCGTTTTCACTCTTCGTGCTGAAGGAGAGAGAGATCTCTGAGCCCACATGTACCCGGGCCTGGGGAAGCTCACGGTGTGCAGGTTCTGACAGAGAGAGAAAGCCAGTGTTTAGTTTGTAGTTTCACCCAAAATCCTCCTGTGGTTCATCAGCTGATGGCATCAGATTTGTCATGGGTGTTTCTGGAACTATGGAAACTGTCCTTGTATCATGCCTTCATTTTTTCGTTTTGGAAAATGGCTTTATGTTCCACATTTTTGCACCTGAATGTCGCACCAGGTCAAAATTGCATTGTTGAGAGAAACAAACAAACAAACAAACACAGTTTTGTCCACGTATACGTCACATATTTACCAGTAAATTAAATAAAATGTTTACAAACATTCTTAACACTGTGAACTTAATTTTAGTTTCACTCACTCCACAACTAATTATTTAAATACATTATTATTTTTTTTTTAATATACTGAATTACCAGCATGAGGGAAATGCACTATACAAACACAAGCACCAACTGTTGAATGTGAAGAGAGAAACTGAAACCCATGACATAAAACATTTCTTTCTGAACACAAAGGCCAGTCGTGTTATTCAGTTGATGGAAAAATGCTAAACCCTAGATTTAAATGACAAAAATAGTCTAATGTAGAAAAGCCATTTGTTCTCATAAAATGATATTAAACATCAGAATTGAACACAGTGATCAATGTTGATTCACTGTAGGGATAGGGATGGACCGAAATGAAAATTCTTGGCCGAAGCCGAACAAAATGAAACACTGGGCTGAATACCGAACACGGTTTTTCGCATTATCTCCCCATATATTTTGCCTTTTTTTTTCACCATTGCATAAATTGAATAGCCAAAATGTTCTTTACTTTTTTTGTCTAGCTTTTCAAAGAAAAATAAATAAATTACAAAACAACAATTTAAAAATATTTACTTAACACTGAACATTTTTAACATACCAGCATGCACTATACTAACAAAGCACAATTTAACTTAAAATTAATAAGCTCGTAAAATCTTATTTTTTGGCCATTTCTGAGACCCCCTTCTTGAATCAGTTATGTATTTTTTACTGTACTAATAAATGCAGCCTTGCTGAGCAGAAGATATATATTTTTAAAAACATTGTTGTGAATGTTTTAATAAATGTATTAATAGAGCTGTTGTAATTATTATTATCATTATTATTGTCTTATTTTCCTTATTTTAAAAATGCATTAAAATGTTACTGAGAAGTTGACGAATAACACTGTTTCAGCGCAGATTTTCCTGGCGCTTTGGACTTTGAACCCTGGCTAACGAGCAGATAGCGCCTTGAGCTGTCAGAAGAATACATGCAATTTGTGCATATATTAGAAAACAACGTTTTGCAGTGTATTTACTAATCGTTTGAGGCCATTTCGCGATTTCAATCATCACACAGTAACCAGCAACAACCACCCCTTGCTAATTCTCTTCTGAGTTTCCTTTAAAAAGAGAAAGATTTATATATACTGTATATATACAGAGTTCTGGCATGAAACTCTAGATGGCGCAGTCGGATAGGTCTATCTCAATCTGACCAAATTACATCATTATCACATGGCACAGCTGATTGGTTCTCTCCTGTATTGGTAGCCAATGAGCTCGCTGCTCAACATTCAAATATATGTGTAGTGCTTGCAGTAGCAGTTGCAGCTTGCTTCAGAAACCCTCCCCCTTCCTCAGCTCCACCTGTATAGATCTGCTACGAGGTGATTCATGTATGCTATATGGGGGTTATTTCATGTATGTTATATGTGCAGCGGCAGCAGTATTTCTTACATGCTCACAGCAGCATGTTGTGGATGTATTGGCAGTAGCAAGTCTCAGTACTTGCTCTGCCGCCGCAGCAGCAGCAGCAGATCTATTCCACCAAGACCAAACACATTAACATTGTCATGTACATTACCATGCCAATCCCTCTGAGAGTTGTCATGACAGAAATATATATATTGCTTGTGGAGAAATACTTAAATTGAACAAATGTTGCTTTTAGTGAAGAGAGACAATAACAAAGGCAGAAAGGTGTTGTGTTGCTGTACCTCAATGGAGCAGCCTTTGGTCAGTCCTGTGTAGTCTGGGCTGCTCAGCAGATTGTACGGCGTTCTGGAAACTTCAATGTCTTTCATACAGCCAGAGAATCTCTTCAAAACCACCTCTGACCTGAGGAAACGTGAAAAAAAAACTAGCAACTGCTTTATAAAGCAGACGTAAGATGAAACACAGGAGGAACTCATCTAATAACATCAGAATGCACATCTGCACACCTGTAGTTTCCAGTCTTTGGTACACCGCCAAAATACATCCTCTCATCCTCCCTCAGGTTGAGGCCTGTCGCTCCACCTGGAGACGCCATCCGCAACTGCTCGTCCTCATTAGTGTCGATGTTCACTATGGCGATGTTTGCTAAGCAAATGTAAAAGAGACAGTGTGATCACAGATAGTCAGACATTCACACACTGATTTCCCAGACAGGTGAACCTTATTTGCCACACTCATCATATGACTTCAGAAGATTTGAAATACATTGCACATGTCACATGGACTACTGCTCTGAAAGCTTGCAAGGGACCAATGTGAACATCTCCATTTGTGTTCCACAGAAGAAAGAAACACATTTGGAACAGCATGAGGCTGGGTAAGTGACGGATGTTAATTTTTCAGACCGGCTCGGCACACTGCTGAAGGTGAGCTGTTCTGTTCTCATGTCTGTACCTTCTTTCTTCATGCGGGACATGGTGAACGACTTCCATTTGCCGTCATTATAGCGTTTGTCACTGATGATGGAGCCGGTGCCTGAGCCCAGATCATAACTCACTTTTACCCTCCCATCGCTCAGCTCTGCACTCATGAAGTCCTTCTGCTCAGACAGACAGACAGAGCACAGATATAACCAGCAGAATGCATGCAAATACTGTAAAATGGCTCATTTATATGGAGAGGGCGGGCTGTAACCATGTCTTTGGTGGCGAAGTACATCATGAGCGCGTCTGTGGAGAACGTGCGAAACTTGAACATGACCGTGGAAACGTTTGGGTTCCATCGGGTGGGTCGGCTGACGGCGGCGTATCCCTCTCCGTCAAACTGAATCGTGCCTTCAGTGTCCGCTGGCTGAGGACTACACACACACATTACACTGAGCTCCTCACACTGTGCTCACAGCTGTGTGTGTGTATTTGCTCACCTGACCACACATCCAGCACAATCCCCGTCTCTCTCTCTGTAGTTCCAGAGGCCGCTGGGTTTTCCATCCAGAGACGCCTCTCCCATACAGCCTGAGAATGCAGTGGTTTTCACAGCGTCTGCCTTCCACACACACACACACACACACACACACACACACACACACACACGAGGAGAATGTATTTCACATGATAAAACAGTTCAGACTTAATATACTGATAAACTGCACAATAATTCTAAATATGTGACCCTGGAGCACAAAAGCAGTGTTAAGTCGCTGGGGGATATTTGTAGCAATAGCCAACAATACATTGTATGGATCAAAAATATAAATTTTTCTTTTATGCCAAAAGTCATTAGGACATTAAGTAAAGATCATGTCCCATGAAGATATTTTGTAAATTTTCTACCATAAATATATCAAAACTTAATTTTTGATTAGTAATATGCATTGCTAAGAACTTCGTTTGGACAACTTTAAAGATGATTTTCTCCATATTTAAATTTTTTTGCACTCTCAGATTTTCAAATAGTTGTATCTCAACCAAATATTGTCCTATCCTAACAAACCATACATCAATGGAAAGCTTATTTATTCAGCATGCATAAATCTCAATTTCAAAAAATTGACCCTTATGACTGGTTTTGTGGTCCAGGGTCACAAATATTCTTTCAAAATTGCCATTGTCACAGTAATATCATTGAATACACAGCACTGATACTATTGGATGAGAACAAAACTGAATCACATTAGTTCACAATTCATGAATTTTGCGACATCGACACCAAAAATCATTAGGATATTAAGTAAAGATCATGTCCCATGAAGATATTTTGTTAATTTTCTACCATAAATATATCAAAACTTTATTTTTGATTAGTAATATGCATTGCTAAGAACTTCGTTTGGACAACTTTAAAGATGATTTTCTCCATATTTAAATTTTTCTGCACTCTCAGATTTTCAAATAGTTGTATCTCAACCAAATATTGTCCTATCCTAACAAACCATACATCAATGGAAAGCTTATTTATTCAGCATGCATAAATCTCAATTTCAAAAAATTGACCCTTATGACTGGTTTTGTGGTCCAGGGTCACAAATATTCTTTCAAAATTGCCATTGTCACAGTAATATCATTGAATACACAGCACTGATACTATTGGATGAGAACAAAACTGAATCACATTAGTTCACAATTCATGAATTTTGCGACATCGACACTTTGAATTGAACTGATTTGAAACAACACTGAAGTGACTCGAGCTGAATAACGTCACTACTGTCTTCAGCAGTGTTGGGGGTAATGCATTACAAGTAACACCAGTTACTTTGTTTCCCATGTCCTGACTAACAACTCTCGTGTTGCCATGTTGAGAGAAATCAGGAGTAAGTGCCGAGGCGTTGTGTTCGCTGTGTGAACATGATCTTACTGCAGTTCTATCTAGACTAAATATGAACATGTATTTACTCATCTCACCTGCACAAAAACAGATTCAGTGCTATTCAAAATGAATAGAAACAGTGAAATGCAAACTTAGAATATGACGCAAACCTGCAATAATTAAATATTTTAAATATATTTTATGTATTTAATCCCATTTTATTAAGCAGTGTCTTTGCTGCTGACCTTCGATGATCCAATGCAACCATACTAAGAAGCAAAAATAACTTTAGATAAACATAACATTTGGGTTTCATTTTATTTCTGAAGACTGAGTGTTGAACTTTGTTCTCCTGCGTCATATTCTTCATGCAGTTAGTTTGAGCTGCGCCCTTTACTGTACAGACGTGAATTTACTTTTCCTTCAGGCTGACGCTTATTTATTTCACTTTTGGTGTGAAAGGGCTTTTACATCTGCCAAAATAGAACTTAATATATTAAAAACAAACAAGCAATCTCTGCCCAGATTTAAAAAGTAACGCAGAAGTAACGTAACACATTACTTTCCATGAAAGGTAACTAAGTAATGTAATTAGTTAGGTCTTTATGGAGTATTGCAATATTGTAATGCATTACTTTTAAATGTAACTTTTCCCAAACACTGGTCTTCAGTAGAGTTGCTTATAGCTGAATTTGAACTTGTTTCATACCGAATGAACTTCACACAGTTATTGAACTGAACTGAATCAACACTAAACTGACTAGAGCTAAATAATAGCTACTACAGATTTTTTTAGAGCTGTTTTTTGCTTCTGCCTCATTTTTAAGTTTGCATCACTGATTCTGTGACTTTCCTGTTTATAACTGATAGCTGCTTTGAAACAATCCCTGTTGTATAAAGCACTGTGATATAAAGGTGACTTGACTGAATTTTGATTCTTAAGCATATTTATCTTAGTTTAAGGCAAGACATTACAGGTGAATATGCTAAAAATATTAACTAATAGATCTTACCATACTTCTTCAGCTGATTAATCACAATTCATTAAGACAACTGGGGCCCATTCTTCGTACATCGTTTATTACGCGCTAATCAGGATCTGGATAATTCGGTTCTTCGAGCACACCTGTTGTTGATGATTAGAATTGCTGGATAGAGTTATCTGAGATAATTGCGCATTCATGAGTTGGTTTAAAAGGGGCTATGTATCGATACTCGAAACCACGATCAGCAATGCAGCGATTGGCTGACGGCAAGACATCAACATAATAACATCATATAATTAAAAAAAAGACACCTGACGAAAAACTAGACACATTTTTTTACTTTTATAAAGAAACAGCCAAGCGAACAAAACTACATAAATGTTATAATAGATCAATGAAATGTGCACGTTTTTATTTTATTTAAATTTTTTACATGATTCCCAATTATTTATATTCACAATTTCTAGTACAGTACAGGCTTTACGTTTTTATTTCAATGTAGTAATTAGCAATTCAGATTTGTTACGTGACAGCATTAACTAACTGCATCTATAGTATTATTTATTTATTTTATTTATTACAATTTATTTGAAAAGGGACCATGTACAATGTTAACATAAATGTTTCCATTTCATGCATTGTACCAAATTTAGCCAATGGCTAGTTTTCATTCGCGGTCCCTTGGCAGGTAATCAAAATCCCAAATAAACATAAAAAACAAAATAACAAACACATACAATACAGTACATCCTTTCTGAGCCAAAAAAGAACAGCAAAGACAACGTTCAGTTAAACCACAACCTTGTCAGTGTTTACAGATTTTGGTTTCATTTTAAATAAGATTTTAGTTTTAATTTAAACATGTCAATAGATGTGCACATCCTTATGTCTTCTGGTAAAGTGTTCCAGTGAATAATAGCTTTCACTGAGAAAGATGATAAACCAAAGGCAGAATGACGAAAAGGAACAGCACAATCACTAGTAGATGATGATCTAGTAGATCTTACAGAGACAGTAGAGTGAAAATGCACAAAATCACGAAGTATAGAAGTGGCCAAACCATTTAAAATTTTATATACCATACAAAAATTTGAGAAAAGTCTAAAATTATCAAAGCTCAAAAATCTTTTATTTCTCCAAGACCTTACAGTGGTGATATTGGTTAGGCGTTTTGTCCAGAGTTTTTAACGTCTGTTTATAAAGAGATTTTGAAGGTTTAAAAACTGTTTCTCCTGCTTGACCCCAACATGTCAGACAGTATGTCAGATGAGAAAAGAACAGTATTGTCAGCATACATTTGCACTTGTATCCCTTCGGACTGCTGTGGGAGATCTTTAATGTACAAACTAAATACAGGATTCATACGGTCATGAAAAACCTGGAAAAGTCATGGAATTTTAAAACACCAATTTCCAGGCCTGGAAAAGTTTTGGTCGCTATAATAAACCCAGAAA